GGAATTGTCACACGCCTTTCAGAGTGGGAGTGGGACCTGCCTCAACAATCTCTCCTTTCCTTCCATAGCACATTATGAATCCCGAACTGATGCATAGTTACTACACTTGACAGAAATTACTTGCGAAGCACTTTGTAAGATTTATCAATGGTTTAATTATAATTACATCCTTTTTTTAATTATAATTATCTGTACCGTATTGGTTAGAGCACTCACCTCGCAAGTGAGAGTACCGGGGTTCGATTCTCGAGCAGGGCGAAATCTCAGGGAGGTTTGCTTACTCCACATGCCTCTGTTTACCTAGCAGTAAGTAAGAACCTGGTGGATCGCTTCACTGGGGGTGATAATCCTTTAAGATAAATAATAATAATAATAATAATAATTTGGTCACTCGATTCACGACTGTTTGTGGGACATTGCTGTGCACAATTGGCTGCCACGTTTTTCCCACAAAATATACTGTCAATCCACGTTATCTCAACCACGTGATAAGGCGCTATGTCAAATGCAAGGATTATTATTATTAAGCTTTGAACATGCCTGGTCTGAAATCCCTCTGCGTTGCTCCTTCCCTCACTGCTTCCAACCCCTGTCCAAAGGGTTTCTGTGACTGCACCTTTGGCCACCTACCTCGCAGCTCAGGCTTTGTGAAGTGCTTTGGGAGGTTCTCCTGACGTGAAGGACACTACATAAGGGCAAATTGTTGTTGTACCACAATAACAACAACTTGTATATATATAGCACCCTTCATGCAGGGTAGCATCTCAGAAAGCTTAACAGTAGCTTAACAGAGCCTGACACTGAGCCGGGGGGAGGGAGAAGGTGACCGCAAGCACGGTCAAAGAGGGAAGTCTTCAGTCATGATCTAAAAGAGTGGAAGGAGGGGGCAAGGTGGAGGGATTGAGGGAGAGAGTTCCAAAGCTTTGGGACGTAGTGGCTGACAGCATGGCTGCCGATGGTGGAGTGGAGGGCACGAGGGACAAGCAGGAGGCTAGAATTGGAGATGCTATAAGATTCAAGCTACATTTAATCATGCAAATCTAGTGTCAAATTTCCAAGACCTGCAAATTAACATGTTTGTTTCACGACTGCTATCCCTTTTGAGTTGAGTCATTGATTGAGGTCTCATCTCCCCTTTGTTTCAGGTGTAGGTGTAGGGCCCTCTTTGCTGCTATTTCAAATAACAGAGAAGTTTTCAGATGATTACCTTTGCTGATGCTTCTTTATCGTCTAAACCCATGTCAAAAATTAAAGTAAAATTAGCCACTGTTGTTTGTAAGTGGCTGCTGCCTTTGTCCAAATAATATTCACTTGATTTCTAATTAACCTAATTCTGTAGCAGTGCTGCAGGATGCTTATCTTACGTTAGATATACGTTGTTTAAGTAAATATCCAAGGATGCAACAGCTTGCATCTATATTGCGCCATTCACCAAGGACAGAGGTCTCCAACCTGTCGATCGCCTTTAGGTGGCGCTTTTCAGCCTCTCTGCCCCCACACTCTGGAACCCCATTCCACGGTCCCTTCACCTCGCTTCCTCCCTGACCTTCTTCAAGGCCGGTCTCAAGACCCTTCTCTTCGACCGTGCCTTTGGTCTCCCTCCCACCTCTCTGCCTTCCATCACCCCTATACCACCCCCCCTCCCCCATGCTCGGGTCCCGACACCTGACTGTTCAGTGCTTTAGGACGTCCTCCCGACGTGAAAGGTGCTCTATAAATGTAATTTTGTTGTTGTTAATGTTGAGCGTGAGTGAGACGAGAGCACTTAGCTCTGATCTACCGGTTGGAGACCCCTGACCTAGGATAATGTCTTGGGAAGCTTCTCAGTGGCGGGGAGAGACCCTGAGTGAGGCAGGTTTCGGGGTTAGGTTTAAAGACAGATAGAGAATGGGCGAGGCTGAGGGATGGAGGCAGGGAGTTCCAGAGGTTAGTGGTGCAGTGATTGAAGTCTCGGCCATCGTGGGTGGCCTGGAGGAGGAAGGGCGGGGAACACGCAGGAAGCCTGTGTTAGCTGAGCGGAGGGAACGAGTGGACGAGTTGGGATACGATGGGAGACAGATCAGAATCAGAAGGACGGGAAGACGGGTGAGGATTTTGAAATCGATTTGTTCAGAGACAGGGAGCTAATGGAGCCTGGTGAAGATTGGGATGATGGGCGTGCAGGATTCGGTGCAGGGGACGAGACGGGCTGGAGAGCGAAACCAGCGAGAGCAGCGAGGGGCGGGTTAGAGAGCCGTAAAGGTGGGAGGTGACGAAAGCACGGAAAGGGGTCTCGTCAGCATTCGCTGAGAGAAAGGGACGGAGGCTGGCGATGTGGCTGAGGTGAAGGGGGGCTGCCTCGGGTCAACCAGGAAGCTTTTAACACAGATTCTCTTGCGCAGGAGTTGCGTGCGGAGCTGCACAGGTTCTTGAACGACGGCGACGCTGAATCCGAAGAGACGGACGAACTTCAGCCCCCTTCCAAGAAAGTTCGGCTGCAGGGCGCCGGGGAGAGCGCTTTAGACCCAGAGCAAAACGGCAGTGCAGCCAGCACCCTGCCGGCAGAGGAGGTCCATCCGGGTGACAGAGCCGGAACCTGCACCGTGTGTCTGGGTGTGTTGCAGGCACTGTGCGAGAAGGACTTTGTCAAACTGGTATAAAACACTATTGATTTATCTGAGGCTTCGCTGCGTAAATGCTGTTGTGACCTCCCCTCCTCTCCGCTCCCCTCCTTTCCTCTCCCATCCTCTCCCCTCCTCTCCTCTCCCATCCTTTCCCCTCCTCTCCCCTCCCATCCTCTTCTCTCCCGTCCTCTCCCCTCCCATCCTCTCCTCTCCCCTCCTCTCCCCTCTCATTCTCGCCCCTCCTCTCCCCTCCTTTCCTCTCCCATCCTCTCCCCTCCTCTCCTCTCCCATCCTTTCCCCTTCTCTCCCCTCCCATCCTCTCCTCTCCCCTCCTCTCCCCTCCCCTCTCCTCCTCTCCTCTCCTCTCCCCTCCCACCTCCCGTCCTCTCCTCTCCCCTCCCCTCCTCTCCCCACCCCTTCCCTCCTCTCTCCCTCCCATCCTCTCCCCTCCTCTCCTCCTCTCCTCTCCTCTCCCATCCTTTCCTCTCCCATCCTCTCCCCTCCTCTCCTCCCATCCTTTCCCCTCCTCTTCTCTCCCGTCCTCTCCCTCCCATCCTCTCCTCCTCTCCCCCCTCTCTCTCCCATTCTCCCCTCCTCTCCCTCCCATCCTCTCCTCTCCCCTCCTCTCCTCTCCCATCCTTTCCCCTCCTCTCACCTCCCATCCTCTTCTCTCCCGTCCTCTCCCCTCCCATCCTCTCCCCTCCCCTCCTCTCCCCTCCCATTCTCGCCCCTCCTCTCCCCTCCCCTCCTCTCCTCTCTCCCTCCTCTCCTCTCTCCCTCCTCTCCTCTCTCCCTCCTCTCCTCTCCCTCCTCTCCTCTCTCCCCTCCTCTCCTCTCCATCCTCTCCTCTCCCTCCTCTCCTCTCCCATCCTTTCCTCTCCCATCTTCTCCTCTCCCATCCTTTCCTCTCCTCCTCTCCTCTCCCCTCCCCTCCTCTCCTCTCCCCTCCTCTCCTCTCCCATCCTTTCCTCTCCCATCCTCTCCTCTCCTCTCCCATCCTTTCCTCTCCTCCTCTCCTCTCCCCTCCTCTCCTCTCCTCTCCTCTCCTCTCCTCTCCTCTCCCCTCCCCTCCCCTCCCCTCCTCTCCTCTCCCCTCCACTCCTCTCCTCTCCTCTCCTCTCCCCCCTCTTCCCTCCTCTCTCCCTCCCATCCTCTCCCCTCCTCTCCTCTTCTCTCCCCTCCTCTCCTCTCCCCTCCTCTCCTCCCATCCTTTCCTCTCCCCTTCTCTCCTCCCATCCTTTCCCCTCCTCTTCTCTCCCGTCCTCTCCCCTCCCATCCTCTCCTCCTCTCCCCTCCTCTCCCCTCCCATTCTCGCCCCTCCTCTCCCCTCCCATCCTCTCCTCTCCCCTCCTCTCCTCTCCCATCCTTTCCCCTCCTCTCCCCATCCCATCCTCTTCTCTCCCGTCCTCTCCCCTCCCATCCTCTCCCCTCCCATTCTCGCCCCTCCTCTCCTCTCCTCTCCTCTCCTCTCTCCCCTCCTCTCCTCTCTCTCCTCCTCTCCTCTCTCCCCTCCTCTCCTCTCTCCCCTCCTCTCCTCTCTCCCCTCCTCTCCTCTCCTCTCCCATCCTTTCCTCTCCCATCCTCTCCTCTCCCATCCTTTCCCATCCTCTCCCCTCCCATCCTCTCCATCTCTCTTCCCTCCTCT